TGGGACCCAAAGATCATTGGACCGAGATCTCGAATATTAACCAAGTGGCTTTAGTCATTCCGGTTCCATTTTCAATTGCCGGAATTGAGCTGGACCATAAAATTCTGGCCCAAATAGAGAGAGGTCTTTCTCTCCAGAATCCAAACCTTTCACCTTTTCTTTTTCTTTCTTCTTCTCTCTGCTCAAAAATCTTGCTACGCTCTAAATCGATGGGACTCATTTGATTACGATGCATCTTCTCATTTTTCTTTTTCTCGGAGCAAAGATATGCACATGTTCATATTAATATCCGAGAGAAGAAGAAGCAAAAGCTGATGTCGTCGTTTCGGATGATTCTGATGATGATGATGATGCACAGAAAAAGGATAAAAAGAGAAAAGAGATATGCTCGCTTTTCGCACTTTCTTCTCTTCTATCTGATCAGATCGTTTTGTGTCCAAATTGTTTGCGGCCCTTTCTTAAAATGATTCATTCTGAAAAAGTTTTTCAGATGTGTTGATAAAACGGAAATCTGATTAGGAAGTGTTTTCTTGGCATCCTTTACTTCCAGTAAAAAAATCTGTTCTCAACTTTGAGCCAATTTATTTCGGTTTCTGTAAAACATATCAAAAAATGTTGAACTGGCAAATTATTTATAATAATTTAACTAATATTTTACTAGCTGATCATTTTTCGCTAAATGTTATAAGAAGCGAGATAATTTAGCTCATATTTCAAAGTTTGGATGGGCTTCTATTAAAGCAAATACGGTATTAGCAATCATTCAAAAATTGGTAAAAAACAAGAGAAGTTTTCTGATAATTCCTAAATTCTTCTTATTCAAATAGGATTTAATCAGTTTCACGCTAAACAGAATTCAGAGAAACCCTGTTTATTATATTACCTTTTTCTGTTTTTTTGACCCACATTTTTTGTAACCCAAATTTCAATTTATCACGTACCACTTTAAACTTTGAACTTTTTTTTCAATACATCAAAAAAAGATTTTCTGTCTCGGGGAAACAAATCAAACTAACTTTTCTTCGATTCTCTTTGGTACCAGTCTCTGCGTCAGCTCAGACTCTTGATTAATAACAATAACAATAATTAAATTGCTCCAATTTTTATTACCTATTTCAACTCATGACTCTTTTTCTTTCTCTCCATCTCCCAAAAGACTTTTTTGTGTTCTTGTCTAACCAGTTTGTATGACGAATTGTAGACAACGATGGGTTGTTATTCCTAGATAACAGGTGCTTTTGGTTCGAGATTTCTGATTTTTCAGTTAAATAGAAATGCTAAATTTTAACATAGAACACAACCCCTTCAAATCTACAAATTCCTTCAAACTGTACTCAAATCTTTGCTTCCGGGTATCTAATTTTTCCAACGAATCAAAATACCTTTTTCACCAATTCAATTGACTTTATGTAGTCTCCACCCACCTCCAATTTCCCTTTCATGATTTCATATCTCTATTTCTCCAACCCACAATTTCATTTTTCCACTGAATGTTGACCAGGTGCCTCGAGAAATATAATCGGATTCCGTTCCAATATCCACCTCAACGGGCACTTTAAACGCCCCAGTCAATTGTTTTGGTCAAAAGCTCTCAGAATCCGTTCTTTAACTTTGCTATTTTAGTGCGAAAAAAACCATACTTGTCAAGTTCCGGATCAAAAAATCCTTCCGGCTGGAGTAGCAAATTGAGAAAAAATATATTTTATTCCGCCGCAAAAAAAATTCCCTGAGATATTACATCCTTACAAAAGTATCGACGTTTTGAAATTTTTATTCGAAAATTTTCGAAAATTCAGAATTTCGAAATTCAATTTGGGCCGGTGCCAAGTATATGAAACACTATATCAGGTGTCTGAAAAGAGAGAAAAATGGAGAAGAGGATCCCCGTTGGGGTGTTAGATATACTCCAATTTGCATCGCAAATTAGTCACCACCTACTCTTGCTTCTTCCCCCAACTTTTTTTCCTATTCCTACTATTTTTTTCCTATTTGCAGATCATTCCAAACTACTATTCACGTCATAGTAGATTTGTCTTCTCAAAAATCTATGTGAAATTGGAAGGCTGAGCCGCGGCCGGCCGCAGAATTTGAGTACTTCTGGGATAGTTTCTGGGTGGCTGAACGTATTTTCGAAAGAATAGGCTGATTAGTCTACGGCCGTCTTCTTCTTTCTGTACTACCCACGGTCTAACTCCCGGTTGACCCCTCAGAACTTCTCCTCTCCTGATCCAACCAACCACCTACATTACTAAAATTGGAGGAATTCCCTTGTGGTTGTCCATGGAAGTCCCATACCACCATAACTTTCTCATTTGCTTACATATCTTACGAATCCGTCATCCTTCGTTCATCTCCGCCCTTTTTTTTGGAGAATTCGTCACTCAATATTTTTTCGCCAAGGAACTGGTGTGCATATCCGCCATTTATCAACTTTTTGACTGCCCAATTCCACCTCTTCTCATTTGACACGTCGTCTTCTTCTTTCTGTTGATTATTCTATCTTCTCTTTTCCATATTCATCTCAGTTTCTATCTTCCAAATGAACATCGAAATTACAGGTAATCACGAGAAATGTTGAGACAAATAGTGTTAATGTGCGCCATCCAAACCGCTTACTCTTTTAGTATCCGGGATATTATCAACGGAAAACGGGGAGCCGATGCAGCCAGTGAGTTCTTTGGTTCTTATTTCAAAATGTATATAGTATGGATAAAAGCAAGTTATGGCACTCATGTTACAACTACAATGTTCAGGATTTGAAAATCGTGATTTGGAGAATCAGAGAGCCTACAAAATGAACTAGGTCGATGAGAATTATGGTTCAGAAGAAATCTAGAAAGGGGTTATTAAGGGAATCAACTTAGGAAACTTAAAGGAGGGCTGACAGGAGATTTTTCGGAGTTTTTTTTGAAATTAGGGTATGAATTCTGACCCCTTTTATATACATATTCCATCGTTCGGCCACCTTAGCTTGCGCCACCGTTGCTCAGCTGGTAGCGGCGCGGCACCTCCGGCGGTGGACCCACACTCTTCGAGGGAATTGTATTTTGAACGGAATTTTGAGGCAATTATTTTTATTTTTATTTCCTACACCTTAAAAAATTCTTTGCCTTTCCCCATGCCCCACTCAATGTCTTATTTTCCAGCCCCTTGCCCCACATGGCATCCATTCGCGTGTCCATCCGGTGAATGCGTGCCAATCAAGTACCTGTGCGACGGATCTCCAGACTGTTCAGACGAGTATGACGAGAACAAGAGCATGTGCACAGCAGGTGAGGAAAAATAGTCCCTTGTCACTTGACACCGTAACCAATCTCTTCTTCTTCTTCAGCCACACGACCGCCCGTTGAGGAGACACAGGCGTTTTTGAAGGCTCTCATGTCCGCTCACGGAAAAGATTTTCTCGTCAAAGTGAGTACAGATGGACAGTTCTTTTTCTTAAGTGTTCGAGTAGTTGACGACCGGTTTTTAAGGGAGGGAAAACAGTTGAGGTAGAGAATGGAAGATTGACATGTAGGGAATGGAAAAACGAGGTTGGAAGATCCGTTAGTAGGAAATGTGATTGAGGAGGTGAATTACCTGTCAGTTCGAAAAAACCAGGCTCAGATTTGAAAATTTTGAAATTCGTTAACGATGTAGTCAAAGCCTTCAAAGAATTCTGATTAAAAATCCAGAATAAATATTTCAAACTTTCTCACCTTCCACATTTCCTCTAATAAAAGGTCATTCAAATGGTTATCTTTGAGCTAAATTATCTCGATTCCTGTAAAAGATATAAAAAAGTGGTCAACTGACAAATTGTAGATTATACATCAACAATATTTTGTTAGTTGACTTTGTGATATTTTTCACAGGAACCGAGATAAATTGGCACAAACTTAAAAGTTGTTCGTGGCGTTCTATTAGAGTGTTTACGCTAGTTTGCTCTCAGGAATAATGTTAAAACCCCGGATTCAAACTTTTTCTATCGAATTTTGAACCGTAAAAAAACTAAGCATTTGAGTATTTTCCTAACTCGAAATTTTCAGGTATTCGGTCCGAAAGCCAAAGCGGAACTGTCTGGAATGGGAGGAGTCGACAAAGTCGCAGTTGCCCTTTCTCGTAAGTTTTCCTCTCATTTTTCCCGGAAATTCCGTTTTTCCAATATTCCGATCACAACACCACATCTCATAAATATTTAACATAATATCTCGTTGTGTTTTTTTCGCTTTCTTTAAAAAAAGGGATAAAAGATTAGAGATGCGAGAGAGAGAAATGCAAATTGCTAAAGGAAGAAGCGTATTATAGAAGGCGTCGTGAAGAAGTAGAAGAAGAAGTTCCGAATGACATCATTTATTTGCAGAAACACCGACAGCCGACCTGTTTGCATCTGAAATGAAACTGGATGATGGAGAAACACAACATATGCTCGAGGTTATGGAAGGAATTTTGAATGGATCCACTGATGAACTCACTTCAAACGAGGCCGCCGATTTCCGCTTCTTTGTTCAGAAACTCCAAGAAACTGGATTCTTCTAAATTGAGAGTTAACCCATAAGATTGTATCTTCTCTTTTTATTAAAAAAACGAAACACATCCGCGAAAGATCTCCCCCCAAGCACCATCTGAATCTCTAAAACATCAGAGCCGCCGACGAATACGAGTGTGACCCCATTTTCTTCTTTTTTTTCTCTTCTTCTGTCAGTTTCTGATATTTTTATCCAAACCCATATAATTCTTATTCTTTTGTCTCTCACTCTCTTTATGTTAGTTTCAATTCTGCTCGTTGGTGTGCTTCTGAAATAAACCGTCTCCACATGTTTGTTCAAGTTTGGAATCAGAAGTTGTTTGATTTAAAATTAATTTATTCATATTTACAAACAAATTCAACAAGACTAGAATCGAGAAAGACAAGGATCTTTGGTCCATCGGTAATTGGGAACAACCCGTTACATCGGAAGTAGTAGTAAAAAAGATAACCGGTGTGAAAAATGTAAAAAAGGCTAAGAAGGGAAGTACTTCTAAACATAAGTCATGGCTCGAGCAGCAGCTTCTGCTTCCAATCGTCCACTTCCAGAAGGACTTTTCCATTGTAGACTCGGGGCCGTGCCGTATCCACTTTCCCTTCCATCTTCATTCCATTGACGTTCTCGTGGAGAATCAGAAGACGTTCCAGTGATTCTTGTGATTTCATAGCTTCCATCACTAGGAACAGGACTTTGTGGTGGTTGAGGTGGACGACATGTCGGTGGAGGTTTACGAAGAGACATCCGATTGCTCATATTGTTCATTGGAGTTGTACTTCCCATTTGTGGTCTGGTCGTCATGTATCCCATATGACCGATTGTACCTAGAAATAATTATTTAAGTACATGTTTACTATGTTTAAAAAAGATCTTACCAATCGGAGCGATCTCCTCGTAGACTTCTGACGGTGGAATACCATTCTGTCTGCTAACAGACACTGTATGATATGCAGAACATCCATCTCCTGGATTCAATCGCAATGTCGTGGATTCAGAATGTCGAATCGGAATATGTTGGGATCCCATAATCGGAGTTCCACTTCCACAAACGTATGATCTCATCGTGGTTGGAGTATGATGGAATAGCCGACTTCCAGAGCTTGAATTGTTGGAATACATCAAAACTGCCGGTGGTCCACAGTTGATGGGTTGCTTCATAGAGTTATAGGTCCACAAATGTTCCCCAGCAGCCAGAATCGAATCACTCGACATTTTCTTCGATGCATCTGAACTTTGTCGACGTCTTCTGCAAAGAAATTGAAAATTGAAAAGAGCAATTTGGGGAACTTCTTATTGTGTTTTCTATTGTTGTGCCTTTTGCTTCTTCTTGTCGCCGTGCGCAAATTCAATTTTCTTAGTCCATAACCACTTCATTCACTAATAATTGTCCTCAACTTTACACCCTTTCCTCGCTTTTTTCACCTAATGACCTGCTGTGTGACTGATTGTATATCTTACGGATTGTAAATCATGACCTTCTGCATTTTCCCAATGCCTCCGGTGTCGAAGATGACACCAGATGGGTGTATGCATCTATTTGTGTAACTCCGTCCCCCAGTAGGTGACAATGATGTAACCAACTGTCTTATCCAGTCAGTCAACACTCGAAAACTTAATAATTTGCCTTCTGAGCACTCAAGTTATTCTGTTCGCTCAATTCGCTCCTTTTAATTAAACCTTCCTATGACCAATGCCAATGACATGTCCCAAAATCGAATCGTCTCAAGTGTTATTTGCAGTTGGCATAGGGGCCCAAAGGGTTATCCGTAAATAGCCGGTTTATGAAAATTAAGGAGACTATTGAAATTATCTAGTGGAAAGCCTGGTTAGAAAATTGTGAAATTGTGCATTCTGTTTCGAACTCAGCACTAGGTTCCCCCATAAAAGATCATACTACAGCCTGGTAGAAAACATGTTCCTAGATCTTAGAACCTCAATAATAAAAGTTTGCAACAAGCGAAGAGACAGAAGGGTTAGGAATTTCTCCAGGAAGAGGGGAAACAGATAATCAATCAAACACATATTCTTCGTCGTGGATGATGAATCAGTGCGCGCGTGCAGACTGTCATAAACTGCTGATTGATCACTCCCTGGACCCAAAACGAACCTCCGGATGCGACCAATTACTGCGATACAAACGACGAATAGGAGAAGAACTGAAAGAGCAGCGACAGCAATCAAAACGTTGGCGGCGAGCTGTTGACTGTCCTCTGAATCGTAGATGGTGCCGATGTCCGAAATGCTGACGAATTGGTTTGAAGAGCATTGTTCCGCCTGCAATTAATCGAGAAATTAATCATCACATTTTCAACAAGAGTCAAGGATCATTGAATTTCCGATTGAACCAGTTTCTTGATTCCCAACCGTTGCTACTTGTTCTTCCAATTTATTTCAACTTTTCCCTGTTTTCTCTTCACACCAATTTGAATTTGAATGAGGCGAGGCGAGGGCAGGAAAAGGGGCACAACGGGCTTCAAAAAGTTGGATTCATTTGCATAAACGGAGCGCGGCGACAAGATGGATGATCAAAAGGCGCCAGGAATTCATCTGGCGGAGAGAAGAGGAACCCACAAGGGAAATGGTTATGTTGCAACACAATGCCCAGTCAATTCATATTCGACGATTGATGGGTGTATGGAGACGAGTATTTGGGAGGAAACTGAGCAACATGTTATATCGAGAAACTGGTTTTAGATTTATTGGTAAAGTTTTCGATGGAAAACATATTGGAATCTATCGAAATAAAAAAAATTAAGATCCAAAAAGAAAGTTTCTGCCAGATATTTACAGAACTTCAGAGGAAAATAGAGAGAATAGGTTGAAGCTGTGGATGACCACAAACCAGTGTTTCTATTTATTTTGCCGTAAAACCTGCAATAGAAGGCCCCGCATTGTCTCGTTCGAGCTCAATTATCTCAATTCCTATGCAAGGCATCAGTAATGTGTCAATTGATAAAATGTTTGTGATATTATGTTAAACAATTTATCAGTTGACCACTTTTTGATACCTTTCACATGAACCAAGATAATTGAGTTAAGGACCCTTCTATTAGAGGTTTGCGGGAAGAATCAAAAATCGAAAACCGTTAGTTTTCAGTTTTTCCATCTACAAAAATTTCCAAACACTCCTCTGTCTAAGAACGACTGTAACGAAAATCTTTTGTCAAAATCTTCCCATCTTCCCAAATCAAGTATTCCACATTCAACCAACTAATTCCAACTCTTCCTCTCCCAACTAATGAAGATACAATTTCCGTTCATTTTCTTCCTCCTAATCTACCATATTTATGTAAAACCCATCCTCAGTTTCTTCTTCCATCACCCAAAAAAGACATTCATCTTGCCTCCAATGAATGGCCAAAAACAATTGTTTTTGGCGCAGATGGTTTATGTGTTGAGGAGAAAGGAGACGCGTATTCCCCCGCTCAAAAAGATATGGTGGTTATAAATTAAATCAGAGCTTCTCCTCCTTCCCCTGACACCTCTTTCCATAAACACATAGACCTTCCACAAGTGTTTCTTTCTAGAGCTGGAGAGCATCCTTGAGATTGTGCAAAAGGATTATTTTTTAGAGGAGAAGGAGAAGAAGTAATATGTGCAATTGGTTCAAGTGGTTGTCATAACTGATGGCAATTGTTATGCAAATCAACAAGTGTCAGTTTTTTAGGAGGGACAATGATTTAATCGTCACATACTAAACAGGTGACATGAAGATCAAATTTGATTCAGAATGAGCTCTAGGGTACTTTATCAAAAAGTGTCTGAATGAAGTCAGCTGTCTCTTTATGCAGACGGCTGTCGGATTCCCAATGATCTTGGCCGATTAGAAAAATACTCACCGGCTCGAACTTTTCATCAGATATCAGATGCCAAATCAGCGAAGGATCCGGCGGTGGCGGTAGATCAAATAATGGAGGTTCTGTGATACAATCGCAAGCCCTCATGGTAGCATTTGTCTGGAAAAAAATTTTTTTAGAAAGAAGTCGTAGGAGAGGCTTATGAAAAGAATCGAGAAAACGTTTTGTGTCCATGGCAAAGCAAAATTCTAACAAGTTGTGGAAATAGAGGTACCGGGGAGAAAAGAAGAAGTGGTAGAAGAGGAAGTCTTTTGAAAAGAGGACAGACTTAAGGAGGTACATAATAATGGAAATGTAGTGAGCGGGAGTGAACAATTAGAAGGGCCCTCTCCGGAAGAGAGAGGTCTCGAAACGATAACGACCTTGGATTCCAAAACCAACCGAATTCAATTGGTAAAGAAGAAGAAGAACATACTTTTCCCTCGATACGGTACGGCTCATTTCAAAAATTGCTGCTGCGAATGCGCAACGTAAACGCCTCCTTTTCGGGGATGGGATACGGCTCATCGAACAGTATTATATAAGGAGTGCGGTAGGTCAGAACGCGGTAAACATTGGTGCCGAGAGAGAACATGTGAAAATGAAGCATTTTATGGGAAATTGGTTTTGAAGCCAAGTCAAGCCCTACGATACTAGACCACCCACAGAAGTTCGGAGGAACGATATGAAGAAGCAGGAGAAGTGTGGAGAGATGTTGGGGAAGAGAAAAAAGGAGGTACAGCTAGTTCAAGAATGAAGATTGATTCGATGTGACAAGTGGTCGAAAATGGAATGTGAGATAAAACAGTTGCAATAATCAAGGAGGAGATTTGTTGCGAAAAAAATTTAGATTGGATAAAATAGATAAGCATGAAAAATGGGAGAAACATCATTTTTCCTCTATGAGAAAAACTGTAAATTTTGAGCTGAATTATCTCGATTTTTGTGAAAGATATAAAAATTTTTTCAACTGATAAAATATTGATGATTTTATGATAAATAATTTATCAGTTGACACATTGTTCATATCTTTCACAGGAATCTAGATAATTGAGCTCAAAGTTGGCGGAAGGAAAAGGAATAAGAGATAATATGAACAAACTTCAAAGTCAAAAGGTTCATTAAAAAAAGATCCATTCAATTCAACAGAGCCAAAGAAGCCTGTAATATCCAATAGATCATTCATCTCCATCTTTCTTCCTTTCTTTTTTTTTTGACGCTCCCTACCATCATTACCGGTGCAAGTTGCCTCATTACGGAAGGAAGAAGATGTTGCGTAAACCGTCAAGTCGGAATAAGAAAAAATGAAAGGGTATGGATCTGGCGGCACGGGTAATGGGTTAAAGGATCTGTTGACAAGCAAGGACACACCTTCCGTAAATGAACATGTTACTGGAAAATGAGGATTGCACCACAAAGAAGAGAAAAACGACAAGTGACGAGGGGTGTTGTCTGTTGGATTGGATTTGTTGCAACTCTTCTTTCTCAATCCCATTCTCTCTTTTCTCAACTCTCTTTGATCTATCTAAATCCCCTTCTCAACTTTTATTGTATTTCACACAGATCATCCCGAGTTTCTTGAAAAAAGGCCTACGTGAGAGAATCGGGATTAGTTTTGTGTTTTTGTGTGCACCGGTACGGATTAGGATGTATCGGAGGGAGGAGAACAACGAAATAAAAATGAAGGAGGACATGGGAAAGTGACTGTGCAGCCTTTTTGTTTGTTTTCGTTCAGAGGAGGACCATCTCAATCATTCTTCTTTTACACAATACCGACTATTTTAAAAACATCAGGATTTACGAAAATCCATCTTCTCCAAAATGTTTCTATGAGATGAACACTATAATTAGAATATCGTCGAAAATCGTTGTGTGCTAAAATTGTGAAAAGGGACATTCGAAGAAGAAGAAGAAGAAGAAGAAGAAGGAAAAGAAATGGGTGAGAAAAACCGTAATAAACGCGAGAAAATTGTCCGAAATTGGCAGTTTTCTCTCTCTTTTTCCAACCGGAGAATGAAGCTAACCTGTACTCCAGACTCCGGTTCATAATTCTGAAGAGTGTGAACGTTCGTCAAAACGCAAACACATATTCAAATGTACTAGTTGATGATCGGAGAGGGAGTGGAAATTGGGAAAAACTGACTTTTCCGTCATCATACCAGCTACTTTCAAATCGTATACAACAATCGGCGTGGCTTCCCACACAGAAAAACAGAAAAAAGAGAAAGAGAGAAAGGAAATGAATGAATTGGACGAGTGCCTTTTCCAAAAAGGTAAATGGATATAGGCATAAAAGAAAAAAAAGAGGAGGTATGTTATGGTTCGGGTTAATCACATTATTACCGAAAATGAGGAACGGCGCGGTATTGGAAGAAGAAGGTCGGAAGGACACCAGGCGGTAGAAAAATAGGGAGAGGGAAGGGCAAGAAGACATTGTGTATCTAGAGGGAGAGATGGGAAAATGAGGACCGCCCCAGAGGAGGGAGTATGGGGCACCGCCCACTTTTCACCATGGTGTAGAAAATGAATAAAGTGGGTGGAATCGAGCAGGTAAAAGAAATCCGTTAAAGGTTCAGGTTCTTTGTCATTGTTCTTTCTAGAAATCGAGAAGAGAAAATCTGAAATTGGTTGGCAATTATGGAAAGTTCATAGATCTTGTAAATACATATTTCAGGATTTTCTACGATTTGAAATCATTAAAATCTTACTTTTCGATAGAATAGTAAGATAAAACACTTGAAAGAAAGCTACAGTAATCTGGACAACTCCTTAGCTTCAATTTCAAAATACCGTAGACACTCTTATAGAAGGCCAATCAAACCACCAACGTTCAGGTCGTATATCTCAGTTCCTGTAAAAGATATAAAAAAATTTTCAACAGATAAAATGTTTGCCATAATATCACGCACATTTTATTAGTTGACACATTTTTGATAGCTCTTATAGAAATTGAGATAATTAAGCTCATAGTTCGGGGACCTTTCTATTGCAGATTCTACGGTAAGCAGTTATTTTTGTGCAGGTAAAATAAAGGTCATGTACTGAAAACACAGATTAAAAATAGAAGAAAGGTCTACAATGCTTAAATTTCGACTTTTTTGGTCAACATGAAATCCTCGGCCACCTAGAAGTATTTTCTGAAACTAGTTCCCAATAAGCTTCTTGTTCTTCCTCTTGCATAAATATTCCAAAAAGTTAAACTTTGACATTCTGATCCAAAAAAAACGTCGTCGCAATGTTGAAAACTACAATAAACTTACTTCTAAACCTCCGTTTGTCTTAAAGTAGTACTCTCTTCTTTTGGAATGACTTTTTCTTCTTCTTAAAAATTCGTTCTCCTATTTTTCCCAAAAAAAAAGAACGGAACGAAATCAATTGAAGCCGTGTCAAAATAGTAGCCACTAGCTCTTCTTCGAAACTCGAAAACTTCCATTCTCTCTCTCCATCTTCGAAAAAAACTCACACAACTATTCAATTCTGGACGCCTCCTTCTTCCCATCTCTGGTGTGGAACCAAAAGAGAAAAAAAAGTTGCGAATCAGTTGTTGGTCCATTTTTTCCTGCTTCTGGACGACGGGTGGTGTCAAGTGCACACACGCTTTAACGAATTCATTTTTCTTCTTTTTTCTCTACTTAATGTTTCAAAGGAATGTGAGAAGAGAAAAAGAGAACACTAAACCTTCTCGAATATCTTTCCCAGAAAAGAAAAAAAATTCTCGGAGGCAGAGCAACTGTCAAACAGTAATCTCTCCAGATGATCCTAGAATCAGTTTACAGCTTCCATGAATGTTGTTCATCATTTCCACAGAAAGAAATACAACCAATAACAATAAACTAGTTGGGTAATGAGAAGGCTGTGCTACCATGGAGCAGTCGTCCCAGGAAGAGAGCACGCGTAATTTTACGGTGGAACTGGGTGATTTATGATGAGCAGGCGTTGAGAATAGAGCTTCCTTCTTCTTTTTATGCAACTGGGATTTTGGTAACGATGATGGATCGGATAAGTGATCCGGATGGAAAGGTTTCGAAGGGAAATTTAGGGGAAACTCGATTCTGACGCCTTTCCTAACTGAAGTGATGAATCAGAAGCAATCAAAATAGGGATAGGCGGGAGAGCTCCAACTGAGTCCCAAAATTGCATTGTGTTCGATTCTAAAGACATCTAAATGTGTCGAAATTTGACAAGGACCTCCGCCTTTTTACTTTTCTCCAAATACAACTCTCAACCCAAAACCAAATTCTCTTTTGGCGGGAGGGTGCTAAATGGTTCATTAGGCGTCCGGAGCAGCTTCTACTCTCGCGGAAAACGAGCGGGGAAGCGCCCGTCTTATTAAATAATAGTTACTCTCTCCTTTCCCCATTCCTTCTTCTTCTTCTTCTTCTTCCCCTTCTTCTTCTTCTTCTTCTCGTTTTCGGAATCTAGAAAAAGTTTTGGGCGGGGGATAGAAAAGAATGCACTAAATTCAATCACGTCTTCTTCTTCTTCTTCTTTTTCATCCGTCAAGCTCTAACGTTTTCGCCAGACTGCTTCTGGAGATTTCCTACAAAAAATATATATGGGAAGAAGGAGGGCGCAAAAATGACCATGGAAGAAAAATATTTTAATCCGACCCATTTCAACCGAGAAATGACCAAAAAAAAGAAGAGAACTAGGACGGAACAAAAGGGTAAACGAACTTTTTTCTCTTCTTTATTTTCCGGTCAAGCCATTTTACGTTTTATTATGAGCATAAAACCTCCCAAGATTGGTCGGATGGATTCACCTAATCCTCGCGAAAAAGTGTATATAGTAGTTATTGCGCATCGGAAGGTATTAAGAATATGAAGTACTCCTCCACCGGTTGCCACGTCATCCAGTATTGCGCCATGATCAATTGACACATAGTTATCGCACCTGGCAGTGAATATATAAGGAGATGAATGCGTTACTGTTACGTCAAGTGCACCATCATCCCAGACAGAAGAAGAAGTTGAGTGCCGTGGCATGACCTCTATACCATGCGTATCCTAAATCGACCATTTTATTGTTATGGTCCCTCCCCTGCGGAAGAGAGAGGCGGTGTACCATCAAAAGGCTCCTAATTATTGATACAATTGTTCGAAGGGGTGACGTAACCATTCCGTACAGTACAAGGAACAATAAAAGAAAAACTCATAAAAGCGGATGGTCTGCGCACAGGTGGTTTTAGAATAAGGGCACTCCTGCCAGCCACCTGGCACTCATGAATAGGTTGGAAAAAAGGAAAAGAGGATTATGGTTTGAAAAAAGAATAAAAAGTTGTGAGCAGGTATTCAACAGTCCAGCTGTCAAGCATTGAACCGTAAAATCAGCATTTTCTGGTGCACTGAAGAGTTTCCTTCAGAAAAAAGGAGCCATACTTTTATTCGAATTCTATGAAACTCGAAAGAAAAAATTCGCTGAAAGCTTGTCCGTCCGAAAGCATATTGTTTTTCAAAAAAGACGAAAGCAAACAAAACCAAAATCTCTAAACTCATTAGCTCTCCCCAAAAAAGCTCGCCAAAATAGGAAACCAATTTTTTTCACACCTTCCTCCTCCTCTTCTTCCTTCCCATCCGACTGTTTCTTTTTTTCCCAACACTTGGATCATAAGTGTAAATGGAGTCATCTTTTGACTTCAAAAGGGACCGATCATCGAATGTTGACACAAATATCATTTCCACAATAAAACAGTGTGTCGCCCTCTTCACTGTTTTTGGAGCATTCTTGGAGCCGCGAAGAAGACATTAGCTGTGAGAGAGTAGGTAAACATGGGGAGGGATGAACGTGAGAAAATAAGTTGCGTAATGTATCTTCTGGAAATTACGAGGGACGGGCGGTTCCTGAAGGTTATAAGGAACACGGCAACCAGTGTTACATTCGGCCCATTTAGCACATTTTTGGAGCACAGGAATTGGATGGTCGAAAAGAGATTGGAATGCAGAGAGAGAGAGAGAGCATGAATGAATAAAATGAATGAATGGGGGGGGGGCGCACCAAAGAGGTCCTTTTTGGCTCACAAATAATAATAGCGGAGAGATTTTTGTGGAAGGAAAAACTGGGGCACACGGAAGGACACTGAACTGGAGGGGACCACGAAAATCAAAGTAAACATTCTCATAACTCGGATAGAAACTGGGAGAAAGATCGGATTTCGTTTTTATGATGAAAAGCGTGGGAGGTGTAGATTGTTTGTATACAAATTGGATAGAGTGGTATTTATACAAAATTAGAACATTAGAGATAACTTTGAAATACCATAAACCCTGTAAATAGAAGGACCCCACACGGTCAAGTTTGAGCTAAACTATCTCAATTCCTATGCAAGATACCAAAAATTGGTCAACTGGCAAAAAACTTTTGATATTATGATAAGCAATTGATCAGTTGACAACTTTTCTATAACTTTGACATGGACCGAGATAAATTGGCTCAAAGTACGGTAACAAAAAGTTCAGAAACCTCTTGGAATACTAAAGCTCAACTAAAAATCAAAAATTCCAACTTTTTTTTTTCTTGCAAACAACATATATCTTTTTTCCGATTAATCTCCCATTTCTCAAAGACCTATAACGACTGGCAAGAACAAGAAAATTCTAAATCTTCAACTCAAATAAAACATAATACCTCTTTTCTCTCGGTTCCCTCTTTTTTCCACTTTTCCTCCGATTCCTGGTACCAATTTTAATGGCTCTAAACCTTCAAATGAACCCCAGAGAAAAACGACAAGCACTTGACATTCTTTGTTCATTTTCCGGGTTCTATTAGTCATGATTCATAAGATGAGTAGGGGAAGGTAGAAACAAAAAGAATCATTTGACAGGTTGACAAGAAAAACGACAAACTCTTCGTCCTTTTCTTCTTACCGCCAGCTATCGATAGCAATGACACT